GTTAAAAGAAAAATGCCATACCTTAGTAAAAAACATAAAAAATCTCGATATAATTTTGCAAAAAAATATGAAAATTGAATTGTTAAGGATTGGTTAAAAGTAATATGGTCTGATGAATCAAAATTCAAGATTTTTGGTTCTGATGGGAAGCAGTATTATTAGAAGCGTTCTGGAGAACCAATAAAAGACCATCATATTAAACCTACAGTAAAATTTGGAGGCGGATCAGTTATGATATGGAGATGTTTTACATCTCGTGATGTTGGTGGTTATTATAAGATTGATGGTATCATGAATGCTAACTTATATCAACAAATTCTTCATGATAATTTAATGGGCACTATCAGGATACATGATTTTAATGTTAAAGACATTATTTTTCAACATGATAGAGATCTAAAGCACACGGCAAATTCAACAAAACAGTGGCTTAAGAGAAATAAGGTGACGGTCCTAGATTGGCCACCTCAATCCCCAGATCTGAACCCATTGAATATTTATGGAACGAGGTTGACCGTTGGCTAAGACATCTCCCTGAACAAATTTCAAGTAAAGAGAACTTATGGAATAAGATACAGCAGGTCTGAAAAGAATTTGATGTTGAAACTTGTACTAACCTAATTCGGTCTATACCAGAAAGGATTCATGATATTATTAAGGCTCGGAGAGGATATACTAGGTGGTAATTGTATCAAATTTAAAATATATTTTAAAAAGAATAATGTTGCGATATATTAATTTGAGATGTATTAATTGTTATTTGAGTTATATTAAAAACGAAAATAAATAATGCAACAGCATTATCCAAATAATTATATACTTTAAAAATAATTTACTTATTAATTCATATTTAAATTTTAGTTTTAGAAAATTATAATATTATTAATTAAAATAATAAAAAAAAAAATTAATTATTTCTGTAATTACAAAAAATATTTCATTTTAATGAAATTTTTTTTTTTGTTGCATAATTTATGATCATCACTGTAAATATATCTCAATCATTACCGACGGTTTCAACTATGCACTTTGGTATTCGTACTTGGACAAAAAAGGTGATATGTTTGGTGACTTAACAGATAGCATCATGGAGTGGTCTCAGAAAACGCTGCTGATTGTCAGACGTGTTTTCAAGACTTTCGCCTAAGCTAACATTGACAGATTTCGTGCTAATGCTTCTTCACAAGAGCTGGAAAGCTTTTTCCTGACAAAGATATTGATTCTCCTAATACAACATCTACCTCATTCACCCATCGACATTTGAACATAAATAAAGGGTTATACAATGTGATTCTGTAATGAGCACTCAATTTGGCCTTCCGATCATGATAACAATAGGTATCAGTGAAGTTGAAGCATATCGAATTTTGGGTACTGGGTCCAGTTCTATTATTTTTAAAGCATACACTTCAGAGAATATATGGGTAGTACTTAAATACAGTTTGGATAATCATTATCTAGAATGCGAAGTTCAGATGTTGAAAAAATTTGAAAAACTCAAGAGTATTCCGAAATTATTATACGAAGATCTCCATAATCCTATTATGAGTATCCCATGCATTGTCACTAGTATGATTGGCAAGAAAATCACGAAGGTTTATGTGATAATTGCCTGCAACATCATCGCCGATGTTATTGAAATTCTAAAGGCCCTTCATAAATATGGGTACATTCATAATGATATTCATTTTGGGAATATTGTAAATGTCAATGGTAAATATCATCTGATAGACTTTGGCTTTGCCGTTCCGCTCTCCAAGAAGAGAGATAATATCTCTAATAGTTAGCCAGAAGGCCATGTAATATTTGCCTCTCATAATAGAGGTAAGTATCTTAGAGCTGGAGATGACTTGAAATCCCTTTGTTATATAATTGCATTTATGTATGATTTGAACAAGGCATATTGGAATACTGTCATCAAGGATTCATACCAGGCCATTCATATGAAAGAAAGAAAACTCACTTATCTTTTTGACGGGCTTCTATTAGTATTTTGAGACTTTTTTAACTATATCTACGATCTTGACATCACGGTAACACTGGGCTATGAATATTGGCAGAACTTGTTCTTGGAGACTGCAAGAACTTGTTCTCAACTAAAAAAACACCTTCAGGAAACGTTACAAGAAAGTTCTAATCATAACCGACATCGAATTGAGCAGCAAGTCTGGTGAAAAGCAATTCTAACTATTCTTACTGTCAATAGAATCCCTGTTATCATTGCTTTAGAAGTAAATTATGCTTAAATTTCGTCTTAGAAATCTGCATACTAATGCAAATAAATAGATTACGTGTAAAATACTATATCTTTTAGTATAATAAAGGATAATATATTCTGGCAAATTTTGTCTATGACCATGAAACTTGATTTACTGCTATTACTGTTCTAATGTTATTACTGTTATTTCCAAAAGAATAAGTAATAAGCATTCTATTTTCGACCAAAAATCTAACTAGTCAAACAGGTTTAACAGATATACCATTAAAATTATTATATATTATTACCCGTATATAGACAATTATAATTATAATAGTTCAACTGAATTTGAAAAAGCAATATGTTTCTTGGAGTTAGGTTACAATTGTGGTTGTTCGAAAATGATTTTGAGAGAAAAGTTTGCTGATTTACGTGAAGCATTTCAAGCCCTTTCTAGATCTGAGCAAGATATATTTTTAATGATCCAACTAAAAGCAATGAATGATGGAGAACTAACTGTCAGCTGACGTCTTAAAAAGAAAACGCATACTAATAAGTGAATGTTTTACTACTGAGATCGCAATACGCTTCTCTGTCAAAAAACGTATTTCAATATGTTAGGAATTGGTCACACTCACTTCAAAAACGTCAGAAATCATTTGATGATGAATGGTATAATATCGCATGTTCATGGTAACATAAAACGAGTGCCATAATAAAAAATAAAATTAACCATTGATATAGACATTGCTACCGTCGTGAAGAATTTTCTGAAAAATTATGCTGAAATTTAAGGACTACCAAGTCCTGGTAGAAATGTTAATCGTATTACTCAATCACTTATATTATTGCTAGCTGAAATGAATTATAAATCAGTCTATCGTGATTTATTGCAGGTCTTGAAAATGATAGCACATTGAAATTGTTAAAATATGATGTGTTTTGCAAGTTATGGCACTAATTAATGCCTTATATTCAAATTATAAGTTCCAAAACGGATTTATGTGATATTTATCAGCATTTTCAGAATGGCTTATAGTATAACGCTTGTAAGGAGAAAGAAGCAAGAGATTTGTTAAAAAAATACAAAGAACATTTGGTTAAGGTTAAATTAGAGAGAAATTATTATAACAAAAATATGAAATTAGCAGAGGAACAATAACAATTAGTAGATGAGCATTGATGATGAGAAACAAAACTGAATATTGTAGTGTTGATACTACTGCTCATTACAGTTACGATTGAGCACAAAATGTTCACGTTTTCCATTTAGATTAACAGGTAAGTAAAATTTATTATCTCAGTTTGTGTAAAGTACATTTATTTGGTATATAAGATGAAGCAGTACGCGAACAAATTAACTATGTTCTTAATGAAGACGAAATTATTGGCAAAGATCCTAACGATACACTAAGCATGGTATTTGATGGAATTAAGCGATTGAATAAAGGTGAAAAATATTTAAAGATTACTTGTGATAACAGAATAAAAATAATGCTACCATTTGATTTTACTTGTATTTAATAATTTGCGGCTATTATGAAAGTATCAAATTAAATTTTATGATACCTGAACATACTAAATTCAAGTGTGATAGTAGTTTTGGATTGATTAAAAAACTCTATAGAAGAATAACTGTAGATTGTGTGGATCATATTGTTGAAATCGTGAAAAAATTGAGTACAGCAGGATTAAACAGGACTCAGTATTATGACAATAGAAAGGGCTTTCAATATTTAGATCTTAATTCAGTATTAGGAATTTTCTTTAAAAAATTGAATGGTTTGCAAAAATATCAGCATTTTGTATTTGAAGCAGCTAATCTTGGAATTGTCAAAGCTCA